AATACTGTCGGGTTTGCTCGATCCTGAATACCTTCGGGCTTTCACACCCCCCGCATCGTAATGAGCACCTCCATCTTTGGGAACAAAGGTGTCCTTGCTGGTCTTCAAATCAATAACTTTGACCATCTCCTCCGATGCGGGTCCCTTTTTGGGGGAATCTTTGATCAGCTTTCCGAGGCTTTCAGCGAGTTCCTGATCATCGATGTCATCCTGGCCTGGCATCTCTGCCGGCAAATCCTCCTCCAAGAGCGGCGCATCCAATGCAGCTGGATCGGGCGTCTCAGGAGCGTATTCAAGCCCCGGCATAACGCCGTTCATGTGCAATAAGTGCCGTTCGACCATTGGAAAAGAGAATTCGCCATCTGGACATTTGATTTGATTTACCCTCAAAGGAGCAATAGGTTGATCATAGTCCTTCTCCATCAAATCTCGCAAAGGAATAACGAGAAATTCATGACGCCAAAGAAAGTCAGGATGGATGGGATACCCCAGAAATATTCCAGCCCTGGAAGTAGGTTCAAACTTCAAAGGCTTGTTGGGTCGATTCCTCGGGCCGGTCCAAAAGTTGACTTGACAACCAAAGGGCAAGTATGGTCCGGGAAAATCTTCTCCAAAACGTACTTTCCATGGTGAATAATAATCTGAGTGGTCCGTGATGTTATGCGCCATGCAATAGTGTTTGGCGGCATGTGGCCAATACGAATGATGCAAACCAGCTTGTTCCAGGTTGGTCCTCGTGCCCTCGATAATCGCCCTGACGTTCCTCTCAGCAATAGCATTTGTTTTGGAAATGTAGTTTGTACTTTGAACATGCTTCCATTCCAATTGATCTGCCGCTTTCACAAGTTCAGGAGCCCGATCACTGTAAAACACGTTCACGGTTTCCCCGGTGCGGACAAAGTGCTTGAATGCCATCACACACTGATGAGAGGTTTTCCGTGCTGCTGGGTAAACATAACGGAAGTCAGTGGCAACATCTCGAACAACAAGTGCAACTCTAGATTGGTCAATGCCGATTTCACGATCATCTGATGTAATAAGATGGTCCGCCGTGAGGTGATCACCAAACTTCTTGGCCTCGACTTGAGTGGAACCTCCCTTCTGTCTTGATGGATATTTGTACATCTTCGCCCTGTTGCAAGTCTCACAAAAGGGGTTTTTGGGAGTGTGACACATCAAGTGCTGGAGTGAGGTCGCCTCATCACGCAAAGCTGCTTCACCGCGTTCGCGAGGGGCGTCCTTCAAAATAGGCTTCGACACAAAATCGGAAGCGATGACCTTAGGCGCATCTTCGGAGGGAATGTCATGGCACTCTTCAATGACCTCACCTTCCGGTTGGCTAATGGTGTCCTCAAGCAAGAAATCATCGTTCCCCAATTCATCCCCATCATCCTCATTGGTCACAAGCACCTCTTCAACAGCTTCGGGTTCCTCGTCAATGACCAGAACTTCATCATCGATTTCAATGGGAGCTGATGGTAATGATGTAACCTTTGGAATGCTCTGTGACAAAGCTGGAACAGCATCTTGAGTTGCTGGGGGAATGAATGGGACATTGTCTTTGACCTCGAGCTTGATGCGTGAACCATCCGGAAGTCGAAAATAAGGCCTGCTGTGGGCTCTCCAAACGAAATCATATCCGTCCCTGAGGCATCTCATACCCACGGATAACACGGATGGAGCCTTGTCAAGAACATATGGCCGAACAACACTATCGGTCTGTTGGATCTTGACCCTGGCCTGCTTGGTACCAATGATATTCCCATTAGCCGTGGAAAATTTCAGAGGCTGAGACGATTCGTAAATACATCCCATCTCCGCATCGGTCCCCGATAGCAAGTCCTGAGAAGCTCCTGTATCTGCAATCCACGGAATGTGAGAAGAATCCATTGTCATTCGAGCAACAGCGGCTTTCCCCTTTTTGGGGGAGGTCACGGACTTCTCTGGCTCGGCCGTTAGGCCTGCGGGGATGCAGGAATCACAACCGAAATCAGAGTCGCATTGAAATTTGCAAGAAGTCTTCGTGCCTTTGAGCAAATCCTTCGTCATAGCTTCATGCATGGTGCCGATAAGAATTGCGTCATAGACGGCTCTCTCATCGTACTTCGGAACATAATCAACAGGAAACTCGTGTGCAAACCTTCTTGACGAGGCAGTGTAGGGCCAAAGCTCGCCGTCAGTCTCATAGTTCGAAATGGATGGGTAATCAGAAAATTGCACGCATTTCTTGATGCATGGCATACACTGGAAAACATCGTGAGTCACACTAGGCAAGCAAGGATGCGAGGCGACCGAGTCGAGGGTCGCGGCGCACACCATCGCCTGAAGGAGGCACACCGCAGCATTGCTGCCTTTTGACGATCCCGGAGACTTGAGGGACTGAGAACCCTTTGAATCTTTCGAATCTTGAGAAGAAGGCCTGCTATCCTTCTTCCCCTTTTTCTTTTTCTTGTCCCTCGGCGACGTCTTGGGGGTGTCTCCACTAGCGGTCTTCTCGGCCTTTGGGGCTGGAGCTGCCTTGGAAGTTGCGGGGTGCTGCCATGGGCAATCTTTCCCCCTCTCACATCTGTTCGCTTTGAAGAACTTGCACACCTGGGGCTTCGAACCAGGAGGACTCTGCGAACGATACTTCCTTGGCGTCTGGGGTCTGGACCCGCCCTTCTTGCCTTTCCCCTTACCTTTCGGTGCCTTAACATGTTCGAATCGGCAGTCTGAACCATAGGTGCACTGGCCAGTTTGAAATTTGATGCATACACCCTTGGGGATTCCAGGAACTGCAGGGTTGTTCGATGGAGTCCTGCCACGCCCCGTTGTGTTGCTTGACATAGCATCCCGCATGTGAACAAGCCTCTTGCGCTCCAAATAATTCCTCGATGCGTCAATCAAGAATTTATAGGAGTGCTTTTCCGTACCTTCCTCAGCTCGCTCATACTCATTGAGATCATGACTGAGGGGCCGAAACTTTCGAATCTGGCGGTGGAACAGCGCTTCGAGGGTCTTCTCATTTTGCTCATTGCCCATTCCAGCGATGACCGTGTCCCATCTCGTCATGAAATTTCTGAGGTCCTCGTTGATGAGCTGGACAGAGAGCAAGTCCTCAAAGTCGTAAATTGCACCATGTTTGATGTTCGTGCTGAAGTGCTTGTGAACCATCAGAAGAATTTGGCGCCCCCTCGCATAGCGTTTCTCCTTTGCTTCTTGTTCTTTGAAAATGTCCACTTGCCGCGCGAGGTCGCCCTCCAAGATATTCGTCAACGCCGATGCCAGCTTTGCATCAAGATGGACAAACATTCCTGAATCACGAAGGACTTCAACAGTTTGACCTGGGATCCAAGTTGCCTCAATCCATTCGAATGCCTTTTCGGGTTGATCGGAAGTAGCAACAACAGCATCCCTAACTTTGATCCTCCAATTACGGTACTGTTCGGGCTTCGGGAATCGGGGAATCTGAATTCTGTCACCCTCCTTTACACGAACGCGTTCCGCTGTCGGATCGCTCGAATTACCTAGGTGCTTCAGTAGCTTTCGTCGAAAAGATTCATCCGATGCAGTCGAAGTTGATGACGAAGATGACGAGGGAGAAGATGACGGATCTCGTCGCCGGCGTCGGCTACGGTCCTTCTTCTTTTTCTTCTTCTTCTTCTTTTTCTTGTCCTTGTCATTTCCACCATCACCATCATCGCAAGGCCAACCGTCTCCGGTAGCAGCATCGTCCACGGCCCCGGCGGGAACAGATCCGTCTTTGCCGTAGGGGTCGCTCCCGACTTTCGTCCAACTGTGCGAGGAAGCATTCGAAAGTCCGGGTGGAGATGCAGCCAAAGGAACTGTCGGGATAGCCAAGGGGGTAGCTGGTGCCTGCTGAACCGGAGGCGCAGGAGCTGGAGCAGGTTGAGCAGGCGGTTGCTGTTGGTTCTGCATCATCTGCTCGACCATAGCCCTTAGCTCTCTGATCTGCTTCTCCTGCTCGCTGATCGTGTTCATGGCGTTTTGGTACTTCATCTCGGCTTCTCTTTCTGACTTCATGGTGTTCGCACGCTGCTCCGCATTCATCTGAATCTCGCGTCTCATGGTCTCCGACTGGCTTTGGAGACCGGCAATGATCTCACCATGCCTTGCCTCCGCCAGCTGGGCGACCATGGGACCGGTGTCCTGATTCACGAACTGGTTGAATTGGGCATTGTTCTGGGTAGCGTTGATCTGCTGATAATTCGTCACGTCCTGGTTGATCGTCATTGATGGATCGAGGTGGACGTTCGCAACATGTTGGTTGAACTGATTCATGGACTGTGGCATAGGGTTTCCCCTTGCGAGGTCGGTCTGGGGGTCGTACATGACGATGTCACCATGCCGATGCCGATCTGATCCTACAGGAGAAGGAGATCGAGCACCAGACCGCCCAGCCCTCCCACGGTCACTCCGGGATCGGAGTGATTCGGGGCCCTGACTGCTCAGTGCTTGTCCCTTCCTGATGAGCTCCCTGGCCACTTGGGAGTTTGCTCGACTAGTCGGTTCATATTGCGAGGCGTCCTCATCGCCTGCTGGCTCACCAGGTGTGGGACGCACCTCGGTATGGGGTAGTCCAGGGTCGCCATCCATGGCGTACAACTCTGTACAAAGAGCCGCTTACGGCTGATAACCTATAGAACAGGTTAAACAACCGGGAAGGGTCACAATTGAACCCTGTACTCAGCGCACTTTTTCCTTGAGCCACGTGCAGTCGTAATGATGAGACTGCACAAGTGAGACATGCATGCATTGGGGTTTACATGGTTGATAAATACATCACGTTGCAAACTACACTTCTTTCTAGAAATCCTCCAGAAACCCGGGGAAAACGGATCTCGATGGGTTGAAAAGAATGGGGAATGGACAAGAAAACAACCCCTAAAATCGGGAAACCGACAGGAAAAACAATTTTTGGGAGAGGCCCCCAAATTTTTGCCAATCGAGTTGCTCCCGACGCTTGTTTTTTTTTCCGGTTTTCGCTGGTCTCCCCTCGCCTTCAGCTCCTCCTCTAAGCGCTCGGAGCCCTCGAGGCACGGCAAGCCGACCACTTGCAGCGCGTAGTCCTTCATCGTGTCCTGAAGCGGCCGGAGGTTACAAGGATGACTTCCATTTGCGGAAAAGACCCCTGGAAAAATTAGAAACTATGTCCAGTACCAGGCCCTCCGATGGCCGGTAATTGGCGTCCCGGGTGAAGTGCCAGCAATTGACCAGCACTTGCTTAAAAATGGTTTTGTAGTCACATAGATGTTTTGCCATTATGAAAGTGCAGTGAAAGGTCACTGTTGTTGAATTGTCACTTCAGGATACCAGCGGGGATACAGTTGAGGGGTTGGGGTGCATGTATGACCATTGCAACGCGCGAGGGGGGGAGGGGGGGGGGGGGCGACACGCTGGTGACACGCTCATACCCAAAAAAAAATGACCGTTCAACGTACATTGTGCCGGCAATTGGCCACCCCCCGACACGAAGTGACACGCCCTTCAAGAACCCCTCCGAACCTCAAACTTGCCCTCCAAACCTCAATGTTGCCAGCCTGCCCATTCCCCTGCACCCCCCCCCACGCCAAAGGACCTGGAAGGTCACTTGTATCATTGAACAAATTGCACTAAGTACACATGAGTGATACTTTATAGCAATTTGCTTTTGCAGTCACTTAGACATAAAGTGTAAGTGACATCGTTTTGCCCAAAATCGATGTGCCGGCAATTGGCCAGCCATGGGGGGGTGCTGGTAGTGATGAATTCCTTTTAAAACCAACAAGGGAAAATAGAATAAATAGTCTTAAGCAAATGGAGGCCTGGTAATGCTGACCCCCTATTAATCCCCCCCTGTTTATTAATAGGGGAGGATCCGATTCTGGTTTAGTGCCCAAAGAAATTGGCTTGGAACCCGGTGTGGAGTTAAATTTGAACGGATCCCCTGTTCTTGAGGGCGAAGGGGAAACCTGCGGTGTGTTTTGGGAATATGTCCAGTAGTGATTCAGCAAGTCGCTCTACATCCAGTTGAACTCCATAATTTTTCAGCCTGGCGTCGTTCTGCTGGTCAAGTTCCGAGAAGAACCGCCGCTGCAGGATCGCGAAGAATATGCTGCCTCTGCCCATCAGCGAACAGGGTCTAAGCTTTCTTCCCAGCCATTTCTTCCCAGACCGCCAGGGGCCGGGAAAAGATGCACTTGATGCCTTTTCTTGATGGGAAAGTACAGGGACATCCAGAAAAGGGCAAAACGGAGGCACGCCACTGGAGGTTGGGGCTACCAAAAAGAGGGCTGCAACCTGATCAAGGGGCACTTCTACTTTGTTCGGGTCCCTTTCGGGGTCTTGGATTCGTAAAATCGGCCGCAAAAAACAAAACTCTCCCGCGGCGTGTTTCGCCGACGCCCACCGAAGCCACCAACTTGAAAGCTCCGCGGAACCGAGCGCGAGACCTTCTGATCGAGCTCTGATCGAGTTCGGGCCTCTTAGGATCAGGGGCTCATATCCCCAAACCACCAACTAAGGGACACATGAATTCTTGGCTGGAATTAGGGAACCAGCAAAAAGTATCTTTTTTGCTGGGTAGTGGAAAACAAAAGGAACCCCAAAAAAGCAAGAAAATAAAAAGGGGAACTAATTCTGGGGAAGAATTGTGATGCTCCCGCTTGGGAAAAACAAAGCAGGGCCCCGTACGTGTCCAGTTCAAAAACACCAAAAAGACTCAGCTCATGATCACACAAGCGCAGCTGGCAAACACAGATTCTCTTTCACTTACTATGAATATATTTTTCGCGCGCGCGCTCTCTCTCTCTCTTTCTCTCTTTCTCTCTCTCTCTCTCTCTCTTGCTTCTCTCTGCGACGCACTTGTGCAGAGCGCCCAACCCTTGGTAGGCTACGTAAACAACGGTGCTCCTTGAATCCCACTCAAAATGAAAAAACACACAGAAGCAAACAAACAAAATACGCATATCAACATAATTAAAGACATCGAGGGGAAGAGTTGGGCCAAACATGTTTCCCAACATCTCCATAGCTTTGTTCCATAGCAACTTTGCTCAATTTGATGATCTTGGGGGCAAAGCAAAAAAAGTGGAACCCCACAAGAGTGTGTTTTTTTTTCTGTCTGGTTCCCCTTGAAACCAGCCTGAAAAGCGCTGGTTTCAAACCACCGATATCTGCACTCAAAAACAAGAGAACAACACAAATACACAGACTTTGTCTTGGTGGCTGGCGGGACCTCTCTGCAAAAAGTGAATTAATTTGTAGGTCCAATTCGGAAAATATGTTTCCCGTTTGAAGCAACAGTTCTTGAGTCCAAAGATCCGCCACGAAGCCATAGGGCGTCTTCCACTCGTCACAAGAGTTTCTGAATCAAGCCCGCCAGTTCCAAAACACCTTATGGAGTCGCTAAGGGGAGGTGGTTCCGGGGGGGATGGGGGGATGGGGGGGGTTGCTTCGGTCCTCTCAGGACTCAGGAATTCTCAGGAATTCTCAGAGGGCCCCCGGGATTCCAGAATTGTGGGGACCTAGTTCTCACCTTCCAGTCGCTCCGACCTGCAAAGGAGCACACGTAGACAATGGCCAGGAAGCTTTCCTTGACCCACATCAACCTGGTGGCGTTTCTGATGCGAGGAAATCCCCCCTACGTTCTGGGAGGGCGGTGGGGATTTGTCTAGCATTTCCCATAAAAAGGAAAATGGAACCATTCATAAACTGCCAGGGGCATTCCATTTCTAAGCGAAGTGAGGATGCGAGGAACACCAAGCTAGGCGAAATCTGCCAAAGAAAACCAGCTTTAGGATGGGAAACGGGAAATGGATCCCCTTCTGGTCCATGTGCCTTTGGGACTTTACCCTATGATTCAAGCAGATCCTCCCAAGGGTCTCCCGAAAATTGACAGGGGCCTAGGGTGTCCCCCAGCTCCATTCATCTCAAGGAAAATGGAGCCAGGGCATTCCAGAAGTCACCCAATTCCAATTCGAGATCTTCGGGTAGAGTGGAATTAGAACCAGGGTACCTTCTTTTTTTTCTCTGTAGTCTATTTTAGTAGCGGAACCCTCCCCCAAAAAAGGGTGGGCACCACTGGGGGGCCTAGAAGTTTCAGGGAGCGGGGATGGGTGACTTTTCTCTGGATCTGCCCAGTCCGGTCCGTCCTTCAAAGCACCGCATTGACATGGAGCCCTAAATCCCGCGTACCTTAAGTAAGGGAGGAGGGTGGGGGACCAATTCTGCCAATTTTTTTCACCTGGCATTCCGCATAAATTTTACAAAGTCGGGGTGCCATAAATGGAGATCTCCAGGGGTTGTTTCCTCTCCCCCCTTCCCCAATCGCCCAGTTTGAAGGGAGCTTCTCGGCTGGGATGTTCCCGGCGCTGGCACTGGGCAACATTGGAATTGGACACTGGGCTGACTGGAAACTGGGCAAAACTGGAAACCCAGCGCTGGGGTTGATGAATTCTGGGCTCCCATTTCCGGGTGCCTTGAAGCTTTTAGTGGGCGTTCCTTTCAAGCCACACATTTTTGGTTGAGGTACCCACTCCCTCAGTGGGTTGGCCAAGAAACAACCCACACTCGTACCACTAGCATGGCCTTCCCAAAAGTTTCTACAGTCTTCCATTTGATTGAGGCCCCAGGAAAAATAAAAGAATTCCACTAGTGGTGACTCCTTTGAAACCCAACAAGGGAACATAACAAATACTCCTGAGCAAAAGGAGGTGACTCAAGTCGAGGAATTCGGGGAGTGGGTTTTGAGCAGTGGCTCGCTTGCGCCCGGCTTGCCCAAGACGCCTTCGCTGAGTCTCGCGGCCCCAGGCAACCAGCACACAGTTCCGGAAGGCCTCGGAGAGATGCGTTTGAGCCATGGACACTCGGTTGCTTTCTGCTCCCCTGCTAAGAGTTTAACTTGAAGTGGGTAAATGGAAAACCCATTAGTTGTCAAAAAGTCAAAGTCCTAACATCCAAGCAAAATGCACCAAAGGACGTGTATAACCCCCCCTCCCCAGAAAGGGTCTGGCGGAATTCCCGTCTGGGGAGCAACACAAATTAGCTTGGAGCGACATGCATTTGTTGGGCTGCCCTCAGATCCCCTGCTAAAAGTCGAGCTTTTGTTGGTTAAATGGACATCCTCCACTAAACCTTAAAAAGCTAAAAAGCTAAGGTACCGGATGGCTAGAGGTTTGAATAAGGGTACTTCTTTTTTGTAGTCAATTTTTGGGGAACCCTCCCCCCAAAAAAGTGTTGGTGAGAAAGGGCACCTAGCTGGGGGACCTACAGTCCTGGTTCCAACAGCACGCGTGAGACCGGTGGAACTACGCCATCCAGAAGCCGGACGAGGGCGAAACATGGGGCCCACCACAGCTGGCTGAAGCTCTTCTTGGTTGCTGTAGCACCGGCAGAGAAATGACTACAGGACTACTTCGGCTCTTTGAAGTGAGGGGCTATTCACCACGATGTTCTAAGATGGAGTGAGCCCACTACCCCCAAACCGCTAGCTCCAAGACCAAAAAAAACAAAAAACAACAGACAAGAGGTATATGGTGGCCATATAGTGGCTGTATCTCCCATCAACCCCCCGGGCCTTGCGGGTGGGAGGGGGGGGCAGTGGTTTGACCATCAAAAATAGCTGCAACCTACCCGGACGTTCTAAAGCTCGCGATTCGCTGGCGCTTGTTGGTGCGATAGGCAGGGAACGAGACATGGAATGACCCCTAAAAACTATCCGATCCCTTGTGGTTTCCTGTAAAATGTGGATGATGCAAGAGCTGAACTCGTCAGACAGTTGACGGGCTGCCGCGCAAGGCGCACTCTGCTTGATGCCGAGATCACCATGAAACCAACCCTGAGGGGGATACCACAATACCACTCTTCGTAGACCAAGCTGACCTAAAAACATGCTTCTGTCTGCCAACTTTCATGTCAGGATGGAGGAAAACACACTCCGGATGCTCTAAACACCATCCGGAAGGCAAACAGGGCAAAAAATAAAAACGGTGGGGGCCACGGTTTTTCAACCCGGCAGAAATTGTCGACTCGCTAGGCTACCTGTTTTGGGGTGCACAAAACCATTCTGGGGGTCGAACAACTGGGCCCTTCTCTCCCAGAAATCTAGAAAACGTTTTGGATGTGTTTTTTTGTGAATTTCACCAGTTCTTCCCCCCTGTTGGTCCTCTTTTGACATTCTAGAGAGGTGGACCAAAACCGCGTTCAAACCGTTGGGTATGTTTTGCGGGTCACCGAGCGACGACTCGCCGGGGCTCCCGGCGGTCCCGAACTGTTTTGTGCCCAACACCAACAGGTCGTTGTCCACAAGGAAGGCCAGCACGACCCAACCTCGGTGATACCACGCTTTTCACGACCAAGCCACTGAGGCCCAATGAAGAAAAGGCAGTTTCACCGCAGGAAGCCGCAAAGGAGGTAATTTTGGGAAAGGTACGTAATGTTTTATTGTTTTACCAAAAAGCGGAAGGACAAACAGGTCACAGGCAGTACTTGTTCATATGTTATATAAACATTCCCCTCTCCTGGCTCAAGTCCCCTGGAAAGCTGGCTTTACTTTTGAGATTCCTGTTGAAACCAATACCGGAACATTGAACAAAACACATCTTGAGCGAATGGAAGCTCATAAATGCGCCCGAACATGGCTTGTTCCAAGACTTCTTAGGAAACATGTTAGAACCAACTGAGTCACGACATCACCATGATGTTGCTAGCTAGATTTAGGCTTGCCCTGGACACTTTCATCAGCTTCCTTCTCATTGGTGGTTTGGATTGGTTTGAAAATTAGGGGATTCCATTTACCCTCCACGAGAGCAAGTGGTTCAAATCCCCCTACCATCCGGGATCCATTCTTTCCCACATATCCATTGAAGTAGATACGGAAAAGGACCACCATACAAATGGGGTGTCTCAGGGGTCGGGTTTTTCCTCCCTCGCTTCGTCTCCCAACCAACCAAGGGAGCGGCTACCGGCACTCTCCATGGTCCCACTTGGTTGACGTTGGAAGGGGATCAAAAATTATCAAATTTTGGCAGTTAAGTGATTGGAGTTCAACCACTAAACCACAAGAAGCAAAAATGGGAAAGCATGCTTCCCAACAACAACCATGTTAATCCATAGGGTCAGTTCTCAACGAATTGGGTCATGCCCCCATTTTTGATTTGGGCCAGGAGACTCCGGCGTTTGGGATTCCTCCCAGATTTTCAACAAGGGGGCTCAAGGGAAAGCACCCCAATGGCCCGCAGGACAAAGGTGCAAAGGCCAACACCCCCAGTTTTTTGACGGTGAAAACCACCCGAAAATGGTGAAAAAAACAATCACGCCCAGAAACCCTGGCCCCTTAAAGAGAATTCCAGCGTTTGGGATTCTGAAAAAACAATCACGCCCAGAAGACACCCAAAAGGAGGTCGCATGCTCTTTGACTCCGTGACAGGCTCCCAAGAAAAGGGTGGCTTTGCCCCGTACCCCTCTCCCAGTTTTCGGTTGAACGACGGGTTGACCTAGAACTAACAGGTGATCACCTTTCGGGCCCATGATTAATGGAACCCCCCTATTCATCAACCCCTGTGTATTAATATGGGGGCGCCCTTGGTTTTAGTGGGGGTTCATCACGTTTGGAGGGGAGCACCCCATATTAATAAACAGGGATTCATTAATAGGGGGGTAAACATTTAACACTTTAACAAAACAGGATTTGCTTTGAACAAGTCAGCTATTTAACAAGGTGTTCTTGATCGGGACAAGCTCACCACAGCCATCACAGCCATGGCAATTTGATGCCGAAGCGCCGATGCAAATCGCCGCGGCCCAGCAAATCAGAGCCGCCTCGCGGGGAGATTCCGAATTCCGAGGCCGTTTAACGAAGGGAGCCGTTGAACGGCTCGGATCCGAGAAATGGGACTCCCCGCGCTGGCCCACGGCCAACCCCGCAGGGTTCGGATTCATTTTCCAGGGTCACTGGATGGACTCGAAGGTGGCTTCCCTCGAAACCACCCTTCTAGGTTTAATGGGATACTCAGCCACTAGACACTATGTAAAGGCTGTGTGCTGTATGTATATATTATAGAAAGATCCCATTAAACGGTAGTCGTTTTGGGGCCGTGGAAACCATCGTTGATTGTGAAGCCAGGATGCATACCTCCCACCGATCAACACGGAACCTGCGACAGGAAGGGGACCTGCGGGGGGCAGGGGTGCTGGTTTGGACCATTTTCCTTTAAAAGGGTCCATTTTCCCAGTCAGGGTCCAGCTGTTAATTGGTGGGATGAATAAGCCCCTGATTGTTGAATTTTAGAGATTGCAGCCTGCGGACGGATTGAGGCCAAGCAGAAGCCCAAGAATCCGCATGTGAACCCGCGGTGTGCAACACCCAATTCCAAGCAAAACTCTAGACAACCTACGAATTTACAAAAACAAGTGAGCAGTCCTTAAGGAACCTTCATCTTGGATGAGCTCCTCTAACGTGCTATTCAACAAACCGTGTCTTCCTGAATCCGCGTCGCGCTTTGCGCCAAGTCCATGTTCCTCGCTTGGCAGTCCAAAATGGTGGCTTGGACATTCCAACCTTTCGGCTTAAGCCACCAAGGAAAAGGACAGAACCGCAAACCCGTCGCAACCCACAAGCCCAAAAGGACTCCCACACTATGTTCTACCCTTAACTCTACAAGCCTTTACTTTCAAGAGCTATGTGTGCAACAGCAGCCCAACGAGGCGTCATCAAACAAATGCAGAACCACATGGGTTTTTGGGAATGTGGGCAGGTGAGTCTTTTCCGTGGGTACCCCCTGTGTGTGGGTTTCAAAGAGAAACCACAAAAAACACGCCACCATTTTGGAGGGGTGCAACCTAAACAAACCACACACAAACACACCATGACACACTTGTTGTGGGTTTCAAAAGAGAAACCAAAAGGACAACCGGGTCCTCGAAGCACCACACACACTGAACTTTGGTTTCTCAAATTTCCGCCTTGGACCCCCAAAACCCCCCATATTTTTTGTCCCGCCTTTGGCCCAAACCAAAGAAAAGGGGGTACAGCAGCAGCAAAGGCCTCCGGTCGCCGCTTGGGGGGTCCCGCCGGCCGACGCCGAGTCGAGTCGCGCGGAGAAGGCGAACCCGGCTCCTGGAAGCGGAAGTGGAGCGCCAGGCCGGGGCCCCCCACGATGGTGCTGCAGAGGTTGGTGGACAGCGGGTACAGGTGGCCTCCCCCGGTTCCCCGGGCGGGGAGAAAAAAACCGAAGGTCCTCCGGATTTGAGAGGTTAGAATAAGTGGGTGCCGTTCCTTTTCATGTTTTTCTTCTTTTTCCGTGGTCTATATTTTAGTAGGGGAACCCTCCCAACCAAAAAAGGGGTGAGAAAGGGCACTACTGGGGGACCTAGACACCTAGATAGCCGAGTTGCGATCGCTGGCTTTGTTTTCAGCCACTGCTGGGCTTTGGGGTAAAGTGGATGGACACAAAGCAGCAACTGGCGATCCAGGCACAAAAAAATGGCGTCTCTCAAGTTTTTTGGTTTGGTATGGTTTGGTGTTGGGGCACCCCCCCAAAAAGTCGGAGAAAACATATATGGGCGCGGTTTTGGTTGTTTTGTCCCGGGGTATTTCTTGCTTGGTGAGGAAGGGGAAACCACCATTTGGGAGGTCCTCAAACTTCCATTTGGCTAAGGCCCCAGGAAAAAGATAAAAAACATATTTCCGGTAGGAATGAATTCCTTTTAAAACCAACAAGGGAAAATCAACATATTCTTCAGCAAATGGAGGTAAACAAAGACGCCCAACCAGAATCACAACGTCTGAAAACCCAAGCACCCGAACCCAGGCGGGTTCGAGCCAAGGCACGGCCGGTCCCGTCGTAGTTGGGAGTCCGAAACTTCTGCTTTGAGCGGTGGTCCAGGGCGTCCTCACAAAGGGCGATGGCTAAATGAGCTCTCTGCGTGCTACGTGGGGGTCTGAAGAAAACAAAACGAACAAATAAGCTTGGTTGACGTTGGAAGGGGAGCAAAAATTTGGATTTTAGCAGTTAAGTGGGGATTTCCCACTAAACCACAATAAGCAAAAATGTAAAATGTTTCCCACCAACAACCATGTAAGGGTGTCTGCAAAAAATCTGGGAGGGGGGTCTGCGAAAATCCACCAACTATCAATGTCTTGGCAAAATCAACCGAATGTGGGCCAGCAGGTGTAGAGAAGCAAATGCGTTACTACAATCTGCCTATGGTCCTCTAGTTGGGCGTTCCAGAAAAAAGTGAAATGCGTGTCGTCAACGAAGCCTGCCTTCATCCTTCCGTCTTCCAACCCGCTATGTTGCCCTTCCTCCCAGGACTCAGTTGCCCAATGGGCAGTGTTGTCCGTTTCGTAGTGTATTTCAGTATTGGAACCCTCCCAACCCCCAACCAAAAAAAAAAAAAAGACGGTGAGAAAGGGTAGCTGGGGGACCTAGAAAACATGACACGCAGGGGCGACGTCCGACTTTCGGTAGTCCTCGAGGTTGGCTTCGTTGGTGACGGGGCGCAGCAGGAGATCCCCCAGGATCCTAGCGACTCGAGGCTCAAGCGAGCGCTTCTAGCGATCGAGCACAAAAAATTGAAGGGAAAGGATGTTTTTTTTGCATACCCCTGTAGATTTATTTATTTTTTGGGAGGGTGTGTGTACTTAGGGTTGTGTTTGTGATGTGTATGTGCTTTTGGTTCCAAGAATGATGCTGTGTGTTCCGGGTTGTTTTGCAGTGCGCGTCCTTTAAAACAGATCCACTATGCAGGTCTTTACTACCAGCTCATTCTATGAACCCAGAAGCTATTGTGGATGGTTGCGACATCCACTGCACACCACTTTGAATCTGTCCATGGTTGGAACCACAACTTTTCTTGCTTGTCTTGATTCTGGGGGAAGTCGAATAAAACACCAGGTATCTGGACGCTGTGAAATGGAGTTCGTCCCACTTCCACCGGATCCATAAGGCAAACGGAAAGCGATTTTCTCGTATGGGTGGTCACCATTGGCTTGTTCAGTTGCGATTGAATGCCGCCTGGAAAGACTAAACAAATGTCCAGTAGAGTGATGATGAATCCCTTTAAAACCAAGGAAACATATACAGTATTATACAGATATTCTTACAAGCAAATGGACGTTGGCGTCGGAGCACAAGGAAAAATCATGCTGAGCCAGTGCGTTGGTGAGGTGGTTCTTGCCGCAGAAATTGGGTGGTACCCATTTTAACATATCAAGGGGCGAGCCCATAGGCCATCCAAATCTCGTAAAACTCCCCCAAAGGAGCCAACCAAAGAACAGGAAGGGCGGGGGCTTTCAGGAAAAAAGTTTCAGATTTCGGGAAGCACAGGGAAGCCGAGGTGAGCTGGTGACATTTGTCGTTTCATTGAATTTAGATTTGCTTCCTGATGACTCGGACCCGGTTGCATTCAAATACGGTTGGGAAGGAGCTCATTGCACAAACTTCACTCGGCAACACTGCGACAAAAACAAAACAACCACAGCTGAGTGTCAACTGATCAGGGCGTCTCGAAGCAGAACATCCTCCATTCCAAGTTTGGTTCCTTTCGGCAACTCAAAGTTGGCGATCTCTGTGGGGTTGACACGCTAAAGGAACCACCGCTGACTTGGGATAACGCCAACATGCCATCCTTTGACAGACTCACTCGAGTGGATTGGCTAAACCAAGTGCAAAGCGGTTTTCGTTTGCCACTCGAATGGTCTTCTCAAAAACCCAGGGGCTCACTGAGCACTCTTTGAGCAAGCGACGCAAGAATCAGCAGCACCAGCAGCACCAGAACCGCCAGCAAGGCATACAGTGCCCACAGATACGCCAGCTCACATTGCCTTGGCAAAGAAGGCGGGATGACATGCCAAAGGATGTCACAAACCTTCTAGGGAGACCTTTCCCATTCTAGCGATCCACATCTTTCCAAAAAGCCAAACACCCAGGGAAAACGGATCCGGTGTTCGAAAAGGACGATGGTTGAAAAGAATGGGGAATCACACCCTAGAAACATGTCTCGCCAAAGGATGACAGTTGCATGAGCGGCTCTTTCTGGTAGGGCTTGCAACTCGCACATTTCGAACGCAGTTCGAGCGGCGATTTTCCGGCCCTCAAAACCGTGTTGCTATGGCCCATGTTGCCCCACAAAACCGTTCTGGGCCTGTGAACCATGGTGATGCATACAATCAACATATGAGGGACCACACTACCCACAGTTCAGGGGGTCAACAAGCCACACGAATGGCAAAGGACTAATCGTTGAGGCCCCACTCATTGCGTGCAGAGTCTTGAAAACGATGTAAGCTCTTAATACCACAGCATCCACCTGACGAAAGCTCGGCCAAGAACATTTCTACCAGGAGCCTCCATGACGTGTTTTTTTCAAAATGGGGTCGTTACCCAACATAAAGGGGTCATGACACCATTTTGATTCGGGTAGACACGCTTCAGTTGCTTCAAAACGCTTCAGAATGCCAAGTCTCCGCCTGTTCCTTGCCACTGCGTGTCCCTGAAAATCGGCCACCCTCCAAAATCAAAAGGGAGCCATGGGCCCCACGGAACGTGAACCCCGAAGTAGAAAATTCCGGGTTGATTCATGGGGAGCGTCCCCTGCTAGTGAGAATTCATCACTTTTGGAGAGAACACCCATTAGATCCTAGTGGGAAAGGTTTATGAATCTGGAGCCCAAAAAGGGATCCACGTATTCTGGAACCTTAAATTGAGAGTCCAAGATCTCAGGACCTTGCATGCCATCGACGAGCTCGCTTGTCCGCGAGTGGTGGGGTCGATCTACTTTGCCCAAAGCACAAACCGCCGCAGGGGATCTCAATCTACTTTCTGGCTCCATAGGCAGGGAATGAATTGGCATCTCTACTCTTGAAGGTATGGTAGCAAAAAAACTTTGTTTTTTGCAGACCCCAGTAAAAATGAACAGAACCAAAAAACTAAAAAACTAAAAAACAAAACAAGAACAATGAATTGGAATGAGCCCGAGAAAACCCATCCATCCGGTTAACGGTTTCCACCATAACCCATCTATCCGATTTGGCTTCCATTACGGGAACCCCTAGGTTCATTCCCCATCCCCTGGAGTTTCCTTTGTTCGGGAATCCCCTAAAACGGTTCATTCAACCAACACCCGGACTCATAAAGTCATCCCTGCTGAGACCTCGGATCTAAAGCTGTTTACTTGACATTGAACCCTCCAAACGGCAAAGCGAGTTCAGAAGTCTCTCAGCAGACTAAAGGGTAACAGTGATTCAATGAGTTTTAAAGTTTATGTACCTCACAAAGGGTCAAACAAACGAACAGAGTCAAACAACTTTGAAAGAAGCAACCGACTTAAACATGTCAATGACAGCGAAATCAAATTCTCTACTCAGAATGCTCTGACTCTTTGGGGGGGGGGGGGGGGAGGGGGCGACCAAAAACCCCAATTGGGGTTCCCTAGAAACCAGAACCCCTTTCCCAACCCGAAATCTCTGGCACCAACTTCCAAAGAAAGCCCAAAGGAAACCGAATCCAATGTTTACTAGAAAATTTGGCACAACAAGTTTTGAACATACTTCCTCTAAGGAATGTACTAGAAAATTGTGGCCATGGTTAAACGTGACGGTGCAGCCTTGTTCCTCCTGCAACAGTGTTCCTCTTCAGGGCTGTGGGAATCGCCAACTTCTGCAATTCCAATCAGCGGCCTTCCAAATCACGCATTATCGAGGTTGCCCCATCCCAGTGGAAACCAACCCTCTCATTCCCAAACACCCTGCTGCTGGAGAGGGGCGCAAGGGGGCCTTGCCAAGCTATCCAAAAGCAATGTGGTGTCATTCCCAAGGCCAGTGGCAATGGGGAGGGCACCTGCGTGTCCTTTTTTCAAGGCCGCACCCCCTGCCCCCTACAAAACAAGCGCTGGAGGCCTTGGATTCCAGCCCAAACCTCCGTTTCTCAGCCCCTCAGTCCCAGAAATTGGTCAGCCCGGAGCTGACTTGTTCGAATGTTCCCTGGGTCAAGTACCAAAACGACATCGGGAGGAGCACCTCACATTACTGCACTTGCCGTATTTCAGCCATTCCTGGCAGTAGTCGGGGTAGATGAGGTCAGGATCAAGTTTGGGGGATCTTATTGGCTTCTCCTCCTTCTGGGCGAATCGACGTTCGCTAAAACTTCTGCAACTTGACCCCAACCAACCAGTCCGATCCGTTCAATTCGCTTTCAACTGAATGCCATTGCTTTAAGTCCGATCCGGCGCCCGTTACGACGAGCCGCCCATCCTTCAGGACACGCATCGGCCCGCAGTGGACACAGGTGTCCTTAGGGTCAAAAGGATTCGGAGCCCAAAAATGAGCGGCGGTCCTTTGGGCCGCAACCTAGCACCTGGACCCCCAAGTGACCCTTTTGTATCCCTTTTTGTACCCCTTTGTACCCCTTTTTTCTATGGGTGAAAGGCAGAAATCATGTGTTTTTTGGGTTTGTTTGGGGGGGTCCAGGGAATCAACCATTGAGGGCATACTGTCAAAACATCATATACCCACATTTGGGCCAGCGAAACGAAACACCTCGATCAGCTGAGTTAGAGAGGACCCCCCCTGCAACGCAGGTGTTTGGATGCATCCTTTGCGGGATCACCTTGGCTGGAACACTTAAAATAGAAGCCCAACTTGTTTTATGGAACCCCTAAAAAGGGTTGGTACAAGGGAGGTGGGTAGTTGCGAGCTGTAAAGTTCCCTGGGGTTGAATTGAAATACCATATCACCCAATGGGGCCAACCATAACCTGACTAAGGCGTGATGGAAAACCAAACGCTTCCTCCAAACTGTCCTTTTGGTGTTCCTCCAAAAAGGCGCGTCAACTATGGTACCCTCCACTGGGCGCCCTCTTGGCTCCCGTCCATCCCAACCAAAACGCATCATGTATCCATCCCATGGAGATGAGGTCACCATAGCAAGACAAGTCGTCTTGGATGCGCGCCAACCCATGTGCGTGGTGTCCTAGTGTTGCGTTCCTGGAAGATATCCTTCAAGCCCTATGGAAGTGGCTCAGAGCAAAAGGAAAGTGGTCTTTCAAAGTGGTTCATCCAAATGGGTCGGAACTTGTTGGTGGGTTTTCAACTGAGACCAGCAGCGGGGGTTCTCCACGACATTCTAAAAAATAGGGTTATGACGCAAAATGAAGGGGCCAGAAGGAGGCTCCAGGTACCCTCCAAAAAAGTCCCCACCTCACCCTACCCTAAAACCTACCTAAACCTACCCCTGCACCCACCCTAAGTCTACCCTTAAACCTACCCTCGACACCCGCCCTTCAACCTACCCGCCCCAAAAAAAACATGTTTTCTGCAAGAGGTACAAAGGCAGAAAAAACAAGGTCACTTGGGGGTCCAGGTGTACCCCAAACCGCCCCTCGCTTCCTCTTCGCTTTCTGCCACGTCCGCCCCCCGCCCTCCCGTGCCAAAGGCGCCGTGCCATCGGCACTGGGCACCTCGCAGCCGTCCACCGCCGCGGCGCGGCAGGCGCCCTGCGCCAGGTCCGCCACCGGGGCCTCACGCGGAGGCGGAGACGCAAAAACGACGGACGCGCATGGAGTCGAGGAGTCGGGGGGAGGGGGAGGGGCGGTTGGGGGTTGGAGGGGAGGGGGGAGAGAGAGCTGTTGTTTGCGAGGTTGGGGGCGGTTCAGGGGAATGAAGGGGAGGGGTTGTTGAGAGGGTCGGGCGGGGGGGCGGGCGAGGAAGCTTCGGAAACCTTGGGGTGGTTTGTTTGTTGAATATCTTCCTGGACCCCGAAAGGAACCCGCTGTTTTTTCTGCCTATACCCACCAAAAAAGCGGCACACTGCACTGGCAAAGAAAAAAATGGCTCTGCCCTTTCAGGGTCCAGGGCTGTTTTAGGCTTGTCTGACATGACATGTGCTTGTCCCAAAGGAACATCAACGATTGAAAAGCATTTTCTTCTTCAGAGGAAGGCAAAGGGTCGAACAGTTGGAAACCACAGTGGTTGCGGATTCCCGGTGTGTGCGGACAACAAACCAACATCGCCGCTCATCCCGTGCGAAGGTTGGGTCTTGAGACGATTTAAAAAAAGGCAGCGAAGCAACCAGTGTTTGGCTTCCCCTTGGAGTGCCAGGAGGATGTTGTGTTTTCTGTTTTTTTTTTTTTTTTTGCAACCTAGTTGAACATTTCAAGCTGAGCACCCAAAGAAACTGGATAACAAGCAGCAACTCCGCTGGCTTTCCCCACGCGAAACAAAAACGCGAACGGCGAGCTCTAGCTTTCGTCCATTTCCTTTTCCCCCCCCCCCCCCGTGAAAAAATGAGAGCATATGTCCAGTAGTAAAAACAATTCCTTTAAACCCAACCAGGGCAGAAACAAATCAAAAAACAAAAAAACACATGGGATATTAAAAACGCGTATTCCTTTCAAGCAAATTCACACCTTTGGTCCATGCATGAGATCAGCTCCGCAGACCTACGCGAATCCACACGCAACGCCCCGCTCGACTCTTGGCTTCGGAGTTCGATAGTTCGATGCCTCGGGGTTGTACTTGGCGCACTCATCCGCGGCGACGCAGGTGGCCCAGCAGAAGTCCTGGCAAAAGGAGGCGAAAAACAACTTGGCCCCCAAAAGATGTACATCCGACTTCGGTTGAGCCCCCAGGAAACAATAAACATAGTTCCAGTAGTGATGAATTCTTTTCAACACCAACAAGGGAAAATAAACAACTCCTAAGCAAATGGAGGCCGGGGCAAGTAACAAACACACCACCACCCCAACCACACCTCCAAAACATGGTCCTATTTCTAGTCTTTCGCCAGGGGGCCGGTGTGTTTGTTCTTGGGGGTGTTTGGGGGTCCCTTTCAAGGGCGGGGTGATGAAAACCATGAGCAAGCGACGAGCAAGCTGCTAGATTGCGCGCGCGGCGAGGCGCGAGCATCCAAGACGGGAGGAAACCATGCACAAGAAGTACAGGCTCGTCGGCGCCACACATCCAGCAGCAGCTGGGTAATTGTTTAATCCAGATTAACATGGAGTAGAAAGACTACTTTCCTCTTGGAAAGACTTCCATGTTAGTTGGTGGTAGGGTGTCCCAACTGCCCTTTTTGGCCTCCAAGCTAAGATTCTGACCCTTATCCCTTGCTCCCGCCAACGCAGGCGATCGGCTGAGGATAGTGCTTTAGAAGGTGTTCGTAAAAGAAATCATTGCCACAAGTCCCGTGTTTTGAAAGGTCAAGCTGGCTGTTGGGGATGAGTATTTGAGACTGGAATGGGCATTCTCCCACAAATCAACGAGCAAAGGACATCTTTTAGGGAGGATCAAGTACAGCAGCCTGAGACCTGCATTGAAGATTGCAGTCCTCAAACCTTATTGCCGTGCACATTTCAATGCTTACGTACAGGGGAGCGGATAAGTATATTTACATATGTACCTACGTACATATATACACATACACATATCTATATAGATACATATGAAAACATATAAGCACATATGGAGTATAATAAAAGCAATTATACGTGTGTTTGTGCTTGTATGTATGCACGCATGCATGCATGCATGCAAATATATATATATATATATATACATATATATATGTATATATATATATATATATATATATATATATATATGTGTGTGTGTGTGTGCGTGTTGTGCGTGTGTACAGGCATGAGTCAGAAGAAAGGACGCACCCAAATGGGCTAGGTCCTCCAGTAAAGAGGCTAGAACAAGGGTACCCTTTTTTGTCTGTAGTCTATGTTAGTAGGGGAACCCTCCCAACCATAAAAGGGGTGAGAAAGGGCTGCTGGGGGAACCTAGAAATGGTGCACTCAGACGGTCCAAACCCCCGTATCCTCCAGCCGCCTCACCGCCTCCACCACAGGTGTCGGAATCACCCCGTAATGCTCCAGAGTGTTGTGGTAATCCAATATCACCAAAGGCCGCGAATTGACTGATGGCGCTGGCACTAGAACAACCTCAGGTGTTTCCACGTCTGAGCTGATGTCCTCCACGGGCTCTTCTGCTGTCACGTCAGGGGTGTCCAGCTGTTCCACTTCTTCAAGAATCACCGGATCTTAGACAATGTCTGTCTGCCCAGTTTGCTGATCCTGAAAAGCGTCCAACTCCCCAAAAAAGGGAAAAAGGGTAAAAGGGCACTGCTGGGGGAACCTAGTGGGGATACAAAGCGCTGAACTATGGTTTCCCGGCCGCTGGCTGCCACTACAAAACTCCTGGTAGCTCCAAAAGGCTCCCTCCTGCAAAAGAAAAGATTGGACACACCCAGCTCCGTCCCGGTCAGCCGCCCGTGATTTCTAACGGAAGCTTCCCCATTCTTTTCAGGGACTCTTCTTTTCAGGAAACCATCCGAAATCCCAGAAGAAACGGCTGGTTTTTGATAAAATAACGATGGTTGAGCAGAATGGAAAAGCAATCATCTTCTAGAAATCCTGATTTGGGTCATGGAGACTCCAGGAACCAAACAAACAGGATTTCACTTGTGGACTACCCCAAGATAGACTTAGCCCACACGGTTCCCCTGTTGGGGGGGAAAGCACCACCAGATGGGGACCGACGGCTCGCCTTATCGGAGTAGCTCGTCGGGTCAGCCTGCAGAGGGCAGTCCTGACGTGTGCAAAACGTGTCAAACGACAAAAATGCGGTCAGAAGAAAACACAAAAAGAACGGTTGGCCTCCCATCCCCCGACCCCAAATATAAATATAAATATATATATATATATATATCATACCCTACTTGTGATTTACTTATAAAGTAATGTGTGTGTTTTTTGGCTGGGGGGGGGTGTCCCTTGAAACCAACTTTTGGAGGGTCTCAGACAAAAAATGTGTTTTTGCTTTTGTTTGGGGGGGGCTTGGAAGTTGCCAGCAGGCTCTCCCATAGGTTTACATACAACGCAACAAACATGATTTTTTTGAATTGGATCTGGAGGCATTGGGTGTGTGTGTGTGTGTTTTCACCGCACGGCCATGGCTTCTTTTTCCCTTTTTCCACGTCCCTTTCCGGGTCTCAACACAGTGACCTTTTGGCTTCTCTCGAGTTTCCTGGGCTCTGCAAAGCAACGACACACCTAAGGAACCGGACGATTCGCTGGGAACCACCAGGTTTCCATCCCTTTCTAGCGCTGGAGGGGGTCTAAAATGGCCAAACCCCCAAACGCTCCGAGTTTCGGAACTCGTTGGGAGGGGACCCCCAGCCCGGGCTAAGACAAAACATTGGCCGAACTGGCGACCAACCAATGGTGGCATTTCTCGAGCAAATGGATACCACAGTTTTGTGCAATGCTCTTAAGTGACCCAGTGAGCCATCAACCAGGTCCAGTTCCCAAGCCAGAAATCCAGAAGTCTTCAAACAATGCACCTTCAAGCGTGCAATTCGCATTCAGTGGAAGATTTTGAAGGGTCTGCAATCTCACTTGACCAAAACATTTGGGGAATGAACGGTGATCACCTGTTGGGGCAATGACTAGAAGTGGACCAACATTCGATTCGCTTTTGGCCAGACAGAAATGGTACTGGAGGCCATGCGCTGTCATTGGCATGGACGTTCCCAAGCGATGCTACTATAAATTACTCTCCCACCAATTAACGTGGAACCTGACGTTGGGACTCAGTCCCTTTAAAAGGAAAATGGTCCAAACCAGCACCCTCCGAACTGTCAGGTTTCATGTTAATTGGTTTACTTCTGTTGCGCCCGAGGACCCGCCTGAAAAAACGTTTGCCCAGCATACACGCCGGAAGAATCAAAGGGTTGGGCTACACAGGAAAACAGCTAAATCAGGAAGTTTTGGGGCAATGTCCTGTAAATTTACCTGTGACACCCTATGAAAGTGAAAGCCTTTAAGCATAAGCCCAACTTCAGCTGCCCAAAGAACCCAGAAACATATAAAAGGTGATCACCTTTTGTTGTCATGACTAAAAATGGTGTCCAAAAAGGAGAACCCCGGATTGTAAACCTAACTTTGCCAAAGGACCTGGATTTTTTTAGAAGGTAATCACCCAGGTTCGCCCTTAGAACGAATCCCCCGGACGACGTTTTGCCGTCCTGGGGACAAGTGGCCTCCAGACTATAGGAGGCCTCGCAAGTGGCTCGTTGCAGCCTCCCTTGAAACCCTAGAGCGGGTTTCCACAAAAAGACATTCATCTCCTTTTTTTGTGTGTTGGGGGGGGTGGTAGACCGTTTCTTGTTTTTTTTTTTTTTTTGTGGGGGGGGGGGGGGTGGTAGATATGGCCATACATGGAAGTGGCCCCCCTCCTCCATGTGGTACTTTTTCTTCTGTGGACACATTCCGGGACATGAATTCAGTGTTGTTTTTCTTTCTTCCTTTGGGGTACGCGATTCGCCTTATATTGTCTCTCAGCGGGGTGCGGATATGAGTCGTAGCTAAAGGACGTGGGCGAGGTTGATTGGACACTACCGGTCAATCGGTGACATCCAGTTGACCTGGGGTTGTTTGGGAATCCAGTGTCCCAGGAACCAAACAACTCCCCACCCCAAGAAAAGTTGATAGGGGGAGCAGCGCTGCTGTCGGGAACTTGATGAACCCCTGGTTGACTCACAAGGGAATGCGGCTCATTTGAGTTTTCTGGGGGAGACACAACCGAATCATCCGCTAGGCTTCTCCGAGTTCGGGGCCTGGTTCAAACTGCAATGCGTGTTTTCCCCCTTCTCGAATTCCACGAGCAACGGGCGCCAAAGCCTCTAAGAGGTCGAGGCGCGGCGCTTCCGTGAATTTCATTGGAAGTCATGTGGTTCGCTCCCCTAAACCAGGGGAAACGTATCACAAGGTCGCCCTTGATGGATGGGACTCCTAGACATGAATTGGATGGGGATAGGCCGCCTCGCATCGAGGTTGGGGACCTTCGCGTTTTGGGAGGGGCTGGGGTGGTTGAACGGACCTCACGTGAGAACCGCAGCCGAAGGCTGAAGCACGACCCGAAACCAACCAAAAATTAACCGAACATTGAGGGAACCAGAGTCCCATGGGTATGCGTCAACAAGCACTGGGGGAGGGGGGGGGTTCCATGGACCTTGCGTCAGAACAAGGAGTCCCAAACTCCTATGGGTATGAGCCAAACAAAACCAGAGGGGCTAAACCAATTGCGGCCTTCCTTGTGGTTTTCCAAAAATACCAAGGTAGAAAGAGTACCAACTCCAAAAACGGTGCCCCTGTTAGTTTACTGTTTTATTTTCTAAAGGAAGACCAAATATCTTAGGGACCAATTCCTGCTGTGAAAGACGCCCAAATCTTCCCTCGGTACCCAAAAAAGGCACACCCATACTTGCTGTTGGGTCCTATTCGGAAAATCCGACCAGTTCCAAAAAGTTGAAAAGTCACAAAGATGCATGACTAAATAGCCATACGGCTATGACTAAAATGGAAACACCAAAGGTGGGGGTACCTCAACTCGCTTCCTGAGTGGATGAGCCCAAAACAAAATACCAAATTTGTTTACCACTAAAACTTTGCCTCCCTCAAACGCAGCAAAGGCACCCTGACCTCTGCTCCCTTGTCACCTTTCCGGGCCCCTTGAACGAACCAACCTGCCCGAACCCGACTTCGTCGTGGCAAAGCGGCGTTCAGCTTGAAGAAGCCGCCGCAGGGCAGCTCGGTGATGAGGCCTGACGATCGGTTCGGTCGGCTACACCCCAGCTTGGTTCACGTTGGGTTTGGGGAGCCAAAAACTCAAATTTTAAGTCTTTTTGAGTGGGGGGGGATTTCAACCACTAAACCACGAGAAGCAAAAATGGGGAAAATGTTGCCCAACACCAACCATGCCCAAAGAGAAACCATCCCCTATTGGCTTCCAGCTACCTGCAGGTAACCCTTCGCCATTTTCATTTGCAGGTTTTACATCATAGCTTTCCATGTTTATCTACTACGTAAAGTTGACTCCATATTTTCATCAACCCCTGTTTATTAATAGGGGGTGCCGATTCTGGGTGAAATGTGTGCAATCAAACCACTTTTGGAGGGGGCCCAACCAGGAAAGGGAGCTAGAACCAACCAGTTTGTTCATAAGTGGCCTGATTCACCAATAAAACCAGAATCGCACACCCCCCTATTAATAAACTGGGGTTTATTAATATGGGGTCAACGTAGAACCATCAGTCCCAATACCCGGACTCGTTCTCATTGCCTGCTGAGCACCAAGCCTAGTCAATTGTGGCGTTTAAGGCTGATACCCACACAGTCCGATTGTAGGTGATCCCGTGGAACTGTGGGACCCATCTTGTTTTCGTGAACCAAAAGGCCAACCACTAATCTGGGGGGCGAGAATTGAGGAACCCCGTTTTTTTAGTACCCCTTGTGGGATGGAAAGGAACACCAAAAGGGGAAAACACAAATGCATAACGATTGTCGGTATTTACAGGGGGATCGAACCATCCAAGAAACCAGGGTTTCTTAGGTGGTGCGAAATGGATTTCGTTCATCCACGGTAGACCAACATCTGATCAATTTGGGGGGTAGGTCCGGGCAACATATTTCGCATACATTCGGAGTCTTTGAGATAAATGGCACTTGGCCACAGAGGGGCATCAAAAACAGGCAATTCTCAGGGGAAATCTCCATTTTTTTGTAGGGGGGGGGGGGGGGCTGGTAGATATTGCCATATTGTGAAGGTGCCCCCCCTCCTCTGACATTCGCCATGAGAGAAAGTACGTTGTGAGAGCAACTCGGCTGTCAGAGAAGCAGGCTTGACAAGAGATTGTGGTCTTATGTGCGTGCAAAGAAGCCTGTTGCGAAGGGTTCCTCAAAGAATCCATTTGGGCCAAGAAGCTCCAATGTAATGGCTTCAAGGCCTTCTCTGCAGACGGCTTGCAGTCAGTCACAGTCTGCCTGTACTGCGAATCCCGCGTACGGATGGGGCCCAGGAGCCCGCTGATGCCGTCCATGACGCAGCAGAGAGCGCGCTTCCGCGCACCAACGGTTGAAACTCACTTTTACCGTGAGGTAGAGGATCCGAGTCCTTAGTCACAGTGGGAAGGTGGCGTTGAGGTGTGTCCTTCTACTTGCCACAAGTTGCAGCTGCCCTCGCCCTTCGATTGCGGATGCGGGGTCAAATTCTACCTTCGGTTCGTGGGCCCAAACAAGTGTGTCAGATTAAAGCACCACCCCCCCCCGGGGGATGCCTAGAAATAACTGACCATGAAGCATCTTTGCCCACCGGGGTGCTGAACTCGTAAAGTATATTTTGAAGATGCTAGGTTTAGGGTTGAAATAGTTTGGCCTTTGAAGTGTGGCAAATAATATAGAACCTAGCCTATGCTCCAATGTGCATAACGACGCTTTCTGTTCCACTGGCTTTAAAGGGAGCCTATCGAAAAATCAATGGTCCTCTATGGTTTGAACATTTCGTTGAAGGTTGGGGTTTCAAGGGGCAAAGAGCCACCACTCGACCTGCCCTTCGCATCTGAGATATCCAACCCCACCCTACTGAAGAGCTGCCCCAGCCTTGGGCCTTGTCGGCTGCAATGTGGCTCTGCCTCAGTTCTCTGCCCTGAAAAAGGGGTCGGGGCTCCGGAAGCGTTAGTGAGGCGCTTCAGGCTGGGGAGGGGCTTGCCTGGGAGAGGTCATGCAAAAGTGAATGGGGCGGCCCCACGAACATAGCATCCTAGAGGGCTCGTTTGAGAGGAAACTTGGAGAAAGGGTAAGCAACCAACGGCTGTTGGTCTGCACCAAGAATGCCTTGCCCCGTGCCAACACTGGCTAGCTTGATGTTTGGTGGACAAGGACTAGTTCCCCGCTACCAACAAGTCTCTTAACCTTGTTCCCAACGCAAGATTCCCAACAGTATATCAACTAGATCGAACAACAACTCGCTTCCTGAGTGAATGGCCCAAACAAGTACAACCTGTCCAGGGAGTGAGTTGTTTGCCCGTTGTTGCTAAACATGCAAAATCCGGCAGGCTCCCTTACGAACCCTCCATTCAGGCAGCAATGTCAACCCCCTGATTACTACCCCTCCACTTGCAACGAAAAGGTTCCCCGTCTTATTGGGGACTCCTCTCTTCCATGGGAACACCCTCATTCAAAACTGGCGGGGTTTAGCACAACTCAAAGCAAGGGTGCCCCCAAATGAGACTTGTTGGGAGCCTTTCAAAATGATGGACCCTTTTGGTGGGTATTAAAAAGACAATTTTAGGGGACAGCTGAAAAGGACACCCGGAGTTGTTTGCATCTTTTTAAAGGGAAAGCTCCTCCAAAAAGCTTGAGCGGGCATGAGTGGCTGCCAACAAACCAGGTCAAACTTGGATTTTGGACCCTGCAAAGCTAAAAGGAAAATGAAGGGAGCCAACAATGACAAAAAGGGGGCCAAGCGCTTAGGTACAAACTACCACGTCCTTACAGAACTCCTCAAAAGAAAATTTGAATACCCCCAACTCCTTGCCTCCCTTCCAACCACTGACGTACTGTCTCCTCTAACTCCCTGCGTTTGTCCTTTACTAGGTCCTCCACTATAGAGGTTAGAATAAGGGTACCCTTTTTTCTGTGGTCTATTTTAGTAGGGTCCCGAACCCTCCCCCCAAAAAGGGTGAGAAAGGGCACCGATCGCTGGGGGACCTAGTTTGAGGTCGGACCCTTTTCGACCCCCGTTAAAAGTCTCACTTCCTGGGTTGGGTTTGGCCAACAAGAAGCTTACACCTTTTCTTGGTTGACGCTGGAAGGGGAGCAAACATGTAAATGTTAGCAGTTAAGTGGTTGGATGTCAACCATTCAAACACAATAAGCAAAAAGGTTTAAATGTTGCCCAACAACAACCATGTCTTATTTTACTACTAAAGGGGTCCAAACCCCGAAAGTGACGAAACTCCGACACAGAACTCAGGGACCCAAGACGCGGTACCCTCAAAAGACACACCCATATACCACGTATACAAGGGGTATATATATATATATATATATATCAGTTGCCCAAAGGACCCAGAACTAAAAGGTTAACCTTTTGGCACCTCTACTAAAAATGGACCAAAATCGGAAAACCAAAAGGTCAAAAGGTCGGCTTTGGACAACTGATGCTCAACAAGCTTCTTCTGGGGGTCTTTTATGCATCCGTCCCTTCAAAGCCCAGCCCAACTCGATCCATCCCGAGCGGGCGGCCCAGAATCTGTCGCAGAATACCTCAGCTGCCAGCTGTTTCGGCGTAGCCGGCAGGGTGGGGTGGGGTGGGGTGGGGTGGGGTGGGGTGGGGTGGGGTGGGGTGGGGTGGGGTGGGGTGGGGTGGGGTGGGGTGGGGTGGGGTGGGGTGGGGTGGGGTGGGGTGGGGGGGGGGGGTGGGGTGGGGTGGGTTTCCCTTGGTTTTCCCTTTTGGGTGCCCCTTCCAACCTCAATATAGTTGATGCCAATTTCGGGACTGCGTTTTGTTCAGAAGAACCACTCTTCAGGTTGGCTTAAAGGAAAACCAACAGTACAATCAGAAGACATTTGAGAAAGGTCCGCCTTTGACACATGGCCATGAAGGCCATTTTTAAAATTGAGGACTTCAGAGTTCTCCCGTGTGTGAAAAACACGTCACGTCATGCTTGTTTGTTCAGCCCCGTCAACTGCAAAGCAGATTGGAGGGGCCCTGATTGAAACACAACCCAAGCACACAACATAGCATCCTACTGAGATTTTGCCTGAAAGGAACTTTTTGGTGGGTTCCGTCCGGCCTCTCGAGGGAGGATACACCCCCGGAAACTTCCACTTGCGGCAGAAATAAAATAATTCCGATACGTTGAAACTATGTTTGAGAATAGTGTTTATGGTGTACCTGAACCCTCAGAATGCCCTTTGAACATGGCATTGCCCAAACAAATGTGCGGTAATCCATGTTTTTTATTGGTATTTTGAAGGTCCAGTCTTTCGCCCCTATTTCACCAACTTGTGAGAGAGCCGCGAAGTCGCAGGGCGATACGTCGCGAATCGGATTCGGCGTTATAGGAGGCCCCCGAAACCTCCGGCCCCCCGAGAAAGCCTCAAAGTTGGATTTATGGGGGGGGGGGGGTAAAAACTTGGTTGACGTGGGGTTTGGGGAGCAACAAATTGGATTTTAGCAGTTAAGTGGGGATTTGAACCACTCAACCACAAGAAGCAAAAATGTGAAATGTTTCCCAACAACAACCATGAAAGACTCACTTCCGAAGATGGGCCCAGAAAAAGTCAGCACTTGTTGCTTACCGCTAATATTGTCCAAGCCCAAAAAGTGACTAAATTCCAGTAACTCTGGAAGTGAGTAAAACTAGAGAAAACCCTCGATGTTCACAGTCCGCATCATCTTTTGGCTGGACCCGACTGAGGTCCATCCTTGCCTATATGGTTCCCTGGTATGAACCTCTGGCTTCAGGGCTGGCTGACCAACGCTGACCATTCTCAGAGAAAGTTACGGGGGGGGGGGGGGGGCTATGGGGCTAAACGGGAAGGCTCTTTCTGGATAAGGCCAAAAGGAGCCCGTAGTAAGGCAGCATTAAGGGGTTCATAAGGGATAGCCCCCTCCCAACAGCCCCCCTAGGCGGTCCATGACATTGTCCGACCAAGTTACATCAATTCAACCGAAACCCCAAAATCCTTGACCCAGGTCAAAAAACCTCACGGTCGTTCTGGTACTTGCGAGCAAGTGCCTTCTATTTGTGTTGAATATTCAACCCTCCATACCCCAACAACCCTCCAAAAGCAGAGGTCACTGGATTTTCCCCTTCAAAAGTTGCAGGTTGTTAGTGGGTTTGAACCACTTGACGCCTAACACTGCCTGAAGCGACCCAAACTTACCCATGGATGTCAACTGAGACCAAGGCGTAGGATGTCGGATTGGCCGGGAGGTGAAATCCACTCCGGTCGCCTCGGCTTTCAGCTTGGAGCTGGGCCCGGCTTCAGAACGCGATGCCAGATGTTGAGAAATCGCGGCGCCGAAGTAAGCCACTAGGTCACTAGGTCCTCCAGTAGAGAGGTTCGGGTTTAGGGTACCCTTTTTTCTGTGGTCTATTTTAGTAGGGGAACCCTCCCAACCAAAAAAAGACGGTGAGAGGTCGGGCACCTAGCTGGAAAACCTAGGCCATGTCTGGCCAGACCTAAGGGCTACCTGAATAATTGGGTCGCGACCCATCCAAAAACAACACCTAGCTGACTTCCTGGGGATTCGCCAAACCACAGAGGCAGGAATCCAACCCACAGCTTTGCTTCGGGCAAACCTAATCCATTCGCAGAACCGTGAGTGTCTCTACTTAGTCTAAGGCAGACTTCTAATGCGTGCACCCAATGGTTTGGATTTGTGGTTTGGAGGTGTTCCGGTGGTGTCCCATTTACCCACAAGAAGGGGTTCAACTCCAAATCCAAACCAATCCAAACACCAAGCAAGAGCATCCAATGACTAGCACCAAACCATTCTAAACTACAGCGGGCTAAGCCGAATCTTGGCGGTTGCCTGAAACCAGCCGTAAGAGTGGCACAGTTGGTTCCCCCAGCAACCAAATCGTTCCATGAATTGAAAAAATATGCATCAGCCACCTGCTTTGGGAAGGGACCCCCCCTAACCCTAAATCAGCTAAGGGTCTTTGGTTTAACTGGCCCAAAGCTATCCTTGAAGGAACCCCGCTCTAAATGAAGGATCCCGAGGCTTTGTTGGGTGTTGGCGAATGAGCAGCCAAGACACGTACAACCTCTCCTTCACCGCTTTTTGCCTCAGAATCGCACGAGCGACAAAGCTCGAAAAGGTGGACTTTAAAATGGAATCGAGGGAGCCAATCACATGAGTCTGTCCGTTTTGAGGGTGCCTTTGATTGGTTGGTTTTAAAGGGAAACCAAAACTCGGTTGCTTTCTGCTCCCCTGCTAAAAGTTTAACTTTTAGTGGTTTTGTGGAAAGCCCGGTATATAGTTGGCAAAAAGTTGAAGTCCTAACGTCCAAGCAAAATGCACCAAAGAAAAATAAAACAGAAGCCATTTTGGGGGGGTCCCTGAAAGACACACCCACACAGAGCCGCAAAACCCTGGTGAGTTGAGGGCGGTTGGGCAGTGGGGCAACGTACTGTGGACGGCCGAAATCCATTTCGCAGCCAACAGAATGATTCCTCAGATGCCCAGTGGCCATGGCCAAAAAGAGGCACCTTTTTTTTGAGTTGAGTTTAAAGGGGAACTCTTACACCAAAAAAAGGAAAAAAGGGCACCACTGGGCAACAGAGATTCAATTCCCCTGTAAATACCAACGAACAATGGTTGAAACCATGGTTTCAAAGTGGTGCAGGAATTGGTCCACAGTAGCGAACTGTGCTCGGCAAGGTGGGGAATTTTTCACTTTTGGAGGGGAACACCCCCTATTAATACACAGTTAGACAAACGAATCAGCGGGGATACGGAGGGAGCGGGGATATGGGGGGATTCCTTTGGCGCCATGTCCCATATCAAACTTTAAGGTGCATCAAACGGGGGAATCCTCCCGTGTCCAACTGGTTCGCCCTGTATCCCTAGTTGGTTTCCCTGACTGATTGGTCTGACAAAACAAACACACCATACCAGATTCTCAGTGAAATTCTCTGCAACTCCGCAGATTAACATGGAACTTCATATGCCAAAAGCCATCCGGGTAATTTTTTGGGGGGGACCCACCGATGAATACACACGGGTTGAAAATCCAGGGTCAACATGAAAGCAAATGGAAAACTGACGTGTGGTCACTGTCCCTTTGCGCCGCGCAGCAGCAAAGCTCGGCTTTGAATAGCCGGCGCCGGGTCACCTAGGTAAGAAAGGCAGCGATGCGACGAAACCTTGCGAATGGCCGACAAGCTGAAAGGCTTTCAGTGACCCTGATGCTACATGTATATATACCCTGACAATCCAATGTATGCATATATCGCCTACATTGGCCGACGCCAGCGTTTTTCAACTACATTGACCGATAAACCTGAATGTAGCCAATTTTTGGGGACATTCAAACCGACAACTTCCGACAAGGGTTCCGACAAGCCTTCCGACAACAAGCTCGCCTCAATTTCGACGACTCTATCCGACGACGCCCTCCAACCACCCTTTTCCAACGCCTTTCCGGCCGCTAACTTAACTCACAAGGCAGGAAAATACAAAGGCGCGCCAAAAATTGATGTACGGACAAAACTTAAACTGCGAATGACTGGCAACAGCTACAGGGCACAAACAGGGCACAAAATGACTCGAGCCAACCCCGGCTATCATTGTCAGTAAATGTTGGTTGCCTGGCACGCAAAAGAAGGAATCCACGAGCATAGTGTAGCAGATGCCTCTGAGGGCTTCGATTGTAACGTTAACCTTTTTGATGGGCTGGCTTGCTTGACGAAACAGTGCGACGACGAAGCACATGTGCGATAGTTCAAACTTTTCAGGCCACGCCATGAAGCACATTTCCAGCGCAGGATCACACTAAGGCAACGCCGGTTAGCAAACATCACTCAACAAACATAATTATTGCGCATGGAGGACAACAACTCCTTGCAAAACACCTCGCAGCAGGAGATCCCGCCAGTCACTCTCAACAAAACCTATCCAAACGCTCATGGGGGTTGATGCCCCCCAAACTAACGATGAAGCAGAATGATGTTACATCGTTGTTGTCCACAGAAACACAATTTCGTCAACTTGCCCGTGTGTAGCTTAAATGCGTGTTGCTTCCTGATTGCTTGCAAGCTGCAACCTCTGCCTTTGCGAGCTTAGTTGCTATTATGTTTGATGCGTGCCTACGCAGGGGCGATGGGTCATCATGACAAGCTTGTTCGCGGGCCATAAACCGTTAACCGAAGGTAAGGGGTCTAATTTCCAACGATCACATCTCCAACCAAATACTTGCTTAACACCATGCCGCAACCCAGTCCAGAGCGCAGGCCCAACTTAAAAAGCCCTGGTTGTTCAAAGCAGGTGTTTCATTTCTTTCCAGGAGGCTCACTTTAAACGCATGCTAGCCTGCTAGCAGTTCCCAATCACCATTCGAGCGGCAACTGCTTGCCAAGCAAAATTTCACTCGTCAGATAGTGATTAAGGCTCTAAGCCTGCCATGCCCCCATGCCGCAATGCAAAATTCACAGACTTAACAAAAAACAAATTGCTGTACTTAACAAACGTGGATGTCAAACGAGATGTGCTGGGAAGGGCTCAAGCGGCGGTCTTGAGGAGAATGATTGAGACTGGACGCACATGACGCAGTCGAAGCCCCATATGTTGCTTTGCAAGGACTCGGTTTTTTTGATGAAATCTAACTATAAAGGACACACGTAACATGTTTGTCTATTGCTCTCCTTGAATAAACATGTCCTTGTCAGCTTTTCTGCGAATGTTTTGGGCTCAGTGCTTTGCCCTCATTGGGCATACGCGCTAGTAAGCCATTTGTTTGACAAGCGTTTCTCCGCTGTTTCTAGGCCAGCTTGCCAGCTGACGCCAACAATCAAGCCACATCACTTCCAACTCACGGCGCCAACAAAAATCGAGCCTCGTCCGACGTGTCATCGCGCGAAATCACGCGTTGCTTCTCGTAAAACGCGGTGACAACACACGAACACAGTCCGGCAAAAATTCACGCTATTTCACGCTATTTCACGGTTTTCCGTTAACGTAAGCAAAAATAAGAAGACAATCCGACAACTTTTCACGCCGAATCACGCCAAATCACGGTTTTTCGTTTGCACAAGCAAAGGACAGGAACACAATCCGAGAAGAAGTCACGCAAAAACAAACGAAATTTGTTGGGTCGTTTGCTCCAAATCGCTAAGAACATGGTAGGGACATACTTTGGTCAGCCAGCGGGAATAAACGGACCTTTGCTGAACTGCTTTTGGGGAGCCACATAGCAAAAATAGGTACTTGTTGGGCCTTTAGTAGACGTTCGAACTTCATTGAAGAGTCCTTTGCTGACAGGGAAGTTCATTCTTGCGCGGCAAGCTTCGAATAGGCAAGACTGAGCCTTTTGCATGGTTGATGCGAGCCCAGAGCTGATGCGAGTAGACAATCCGGATGCTGAGTCTCCAGCATGCCAATCAATACTCAAGAGCTCTGAAGACATGCATGCTAAGCTTGGTGGCTCCTTATCCGAGTTTACATAGCACTTAGTATTGGCAACCTAATAATTGACATACATGTCGCGCGTGCAGCATCATATATCCCATGCTCAAGCGGCAAAACGCCAGGTCTGCCCAATCGCAATGCAGTCATTGTAAACCTACAAATAAGAACACTGCTTTATGTTCTGAGCTTAGATATTCATTATGTTGAGCTGCATGTGTACCTAAAGTCTTGTACATGTGTATACACAATAAATTTGCACATACATAAGATATGTGTGTCTATGTTTTGTTTAGCGGAATTAAAAACAACGCTTTTTGGTAAGATAAAATTGGAGTTTCTTGTTGGTATGCTTCGACATCTTGCTGCGTAGATTGAGCACACTTGAATGGCCAACAGTTACTAAGCGGCAGTTGGGGGTCGACTCGGTAGGCCAATTTGGTTCGGCGCCCCTCATATCTCAAACATTCGGCACAGCCAGAAAAATGTCCATACTTGCAATTGCGTGTAGGCTGTAGTGTTGTAACATAAATCCCTTACAGTTGATAGATGGCTGTGCTTTCCAATGCGGCTCAAGGTCGGCAAGTCCGTTCCTTTGGCTCAGAGCATGTTAAATTTGTAGGGTTTTCATTTCAAATACGCATAACTCGAGATCAAAGCACGTTTACATGAGCAATAGAGCTCGAGGGTGGCTTTGCGTTGCACGTCCGACCCCATGTTGGTTGGCAGCGATAGTGCCAGTGGTCGAACAGTTTGCGTACTCAATACTTAGAGCGGCTGTCTCATAAGAGTGCACCAACGCTGCACACACACACACAGTCCCATAAGAACTGCCCATATGCACGAACAGAATCAATCTCGCAATTGTGGATTTCGTAGCCTGCTCACCCGGAAAACAACACTTGCAAGAGTCTGATGGCAAGCTCTCAACCATCGCTAGCTACACACATCATCAAATGTCCATGTCAATAACGTAGTGTTTACACTTGCTGAAGCAAGTGCAAATTAATGAAAGCGAAGTTGCTACACAACAGTGCTTTGGCAAATAGAGCAAGTTAGCAAGCAGGATCATTGGGCCCCTGAAAAACAAGTATGCTCAATAAACTCCGTCAAACTCGGGTTCAAATTTGACTATCGGACACGAGCTTCGTCAAATCTCCCCAATTTTCAGGCAATGTTTCGACATTCGACGGGGATTCGGCGAATGTATCATTTTTTGGCTATATTTCGACAATCCGACAGGGATCCGACGAATGTTGTCGTTTTTTTGCTACATTGCCAATGTACCCCAAAAATGGCTACATTGCAATGTACGCCATATTTGCCTACATGGATTCTCAGGGATATATATATATATATATTAAAGAGATCTATCTTCAGCTTTATGGTATAAACTTTATAGAGAGCGAGAAAGGAGAGAGAGAGAGAGAGAGAGAGCGAGATAGGGTAGGATACATACATAGGAACAACCATCTCTGCAAATTCTGCGGGTGAGCTCGCCACATAGGCAGAGATACACAGCCAATGATTTTACGGGCAGGAACCAGCAACAAATACGCGGGCACTATGAAGGGCCAACACAAATATAGGGACTAAAATAATAGTAATAACAAACAAATGATGATAAAAACCAACAAACAACATAGCAAGAACTACAACGCATGCTAAGAGCTGTCTCAGGAAATGACTGAAACTTGCTGGGTTGTGTGTCAAACTTGCCGGACCCTTTTGGATAGGAAGGAATTCACGGAAAACGACGCCCCCCGTTTTGACGCCATGTCTTTGCTAAGCAGTCAAAACTTTAACTAACGGAGCAGCAGCAGCGGCATCAGCAGCAGCAGCAGAAGCAGCAGAAGCAGCAGCAGCAGCAGCATCACCACCACCAAAACAAAGCAACCAAGCGTGCCCTGGTCCCTGTGTGATGTCCACGGGTGATGCTGAAGCGTTCCTTAGAGATCAAAATTTCAATCATGAGTTTGCGTTATCTTCCAAACGCAGATGAGCATATGAGCATATGAGATCATATGAGCAACAAACTTTGGTTGCTGCAGCCACACACAAGCAATGAACAGAACCCACAAACATGCCAAGGTCACGCTCTTGTATGCACAATGTGTTACACACCAACCATCTGCGGAGGTCCTTCCTCATTCGTGATCCCTGTAGTGCTTCCTTCGCCTTCCACGGAACGCCCCAAAAGAAAACTGACTCAACATTGGTCTAAAAAGTGCCGCACTGTCACGGTCTCTTCCAAATCCCTCGGACACCCGACTAAGTAAGAATGAACAGGACCCCGGGAAGAAACTGCTTGATAGTGATCCGGGGCAGACATTGACAGAAAATTGTGCCAAGAGGCCTTGCTTCCCTTTCAATAATGCTATATGTGTGTATGTACAGATATCTATATATATATATATACATGTAAATACATATGTACTTAGTGGTTCGTTGTCCATTGCTACAAGTTGCGCTTTTAGTGGGATATGTCATACAGCCCTCTCATCCTAAACAGTGGAAATATCTAAGGGGTATGGCTGGGAACCGCCAAACATAGAGTGACACGTAGGCTTGCTCCGCTACACCTCCAAGCCTTGGCTGCTGTTAAACCCTCTTCAAAAAGTTAAACTTTTGGGTTTAGTGGAAAACCCCTGGAGTGCCCAAAAAGTTAAAGTCTAAAGATCCAACCCAATAGCAGTCAAGAAACAACATACCGTGAGCCACGGTTCTTGATTTGTGCTTGGCACCTGCGAATCCCGGCGAGTCGGGACATCCATGGTGCCCTTGTACGCGCTCTCGCTCGCGAGAGTGGCACAAGTCAATGCTCAGCACGAGCTCTTCGACGTTGTTGCGGCCGTTCTTCATTGAAGAACCAGGCATGCCAGGGCTGACGGAATCAGTACCGCCACACACAAACACTGTGGATGGGTGCGAAATCCACTTCGCTGAAACCATAAGGTTTATTGGTATTTACGTTGGGGAATCGAATCATTCCAGGGCTCTTAGGTGGTGCGAAATGGATTTCGTCCATCCACAGTAGGGTTCAAATAGGTGGCCCTGGACATGGAATGAAACCAATCTAAACCACTACTATCTATTTCAAGTCAAGCTAGCATGAAAAAGGACACCTGCCACACACACATGCCTGCAATTTAAAGGTGTTTGTAGGCAGAAAGCGGGATGTGTTCACCCTATTCCCTTGTTCATCCCCCAAAGCTGCCACCACCCCGGACCTGCCGTTGGTTGATTGACCCGCAAGCTATGGCTGCTGAGTTGACAAGGAGGCCGTTCAGGGTTGATCAATTTACTGGGGGAAACCCCACTGAAACGATCACCACTTTTGGAGGTTCCATTAAAACTTACCCCTTAAAACTCCAAGCCCTGGGGAAGTGTTTAATCTTTTACAGACATATAGCCCATGTTACCCCCAACAAGTTGAGAAAAGTTTTGTGTTTTTAAGAGGTAAGAAAAGCGAACGGAAGGGGAAATGGCTCCAAAGCTCATCCTGTGAACCGGTGAAGACATCTGTCCAAACGCTTCGAGGTCGACCCGCCGAAGGTTCGCAAACCAAACCTTCAGGTTTCCAGCGGCCCTGGTAGAGTAACAGAACCGGTGAAGTGCAGTCTTGGGAGGCCCAACCAAACTTGATGGTCAGAGGGCTTGCGAATGAAACGTTTTGGGTTTCCCTTAAAGGAAACTCTCAGTTGCCCAAAGGACCCAGAACTAAAAGGTTAACCTTTTGGCACTAAAAATGGACCAAAATTGGAAAACTAAAAGGTCAAAAGGTCGGCTTTGGACAACTGAACATGTTCATGATGGGATGGATTGTTCATAGGCGTCCTTCCATGTCTCATTCCCTGCTGAGAACCAGCAAGAAAACGGGAAACGGGGTGCCACTGGACAACTGAACCGAACGAACCCTGCAAAGAGCCAATTGGCAAACCGGTCGCGCTCGATCATCAGCTGATGCCGAGCGGCTGTCACAAAGCTCTGCCGCGCCCACGCTCAAACTAAGTACCTGGACGAGACAAAATCTGGGACCTCGATGGCGGTTTTGCTGCTGGCTCCCCTTCTATCCAACCTGAAAAGAGTCTCACTTGCCCCAAGGACCTGACAATCAAAGGTTAACGTTTTGGGGCCACTGAAGGACTGACTTTGGACAAAAAAACAGGACAACCAATACTTGGACAACAAGGTGCTTGTTTCCCATGGGCATGAACAAATTAGTGTCCCGTTGTTTGGGTGGGACATTTAGTGAGTAACCCCCCTACGTTCAGAGTGGTGTGAGCTGGATTTCGTCCATCCACAGCGCTGTGGGAAATGACCACTTGTGTGATACATCAATAAGGCTTCCGAAAGACTATCCCCCCCTTTATATGACTAGGTCCTCCAGTAGAGAGGTTAGAATCAGCCTGCCAACTTTTTCTGCAGTCTATTTTAGTAGGGTCTCGGACTCTCCCAACCAAAAAAGGGGTGAGAGGTAGGGCACCTCCCAGCTGAACGGAGCCAAAGGTTTCTGGGAATCGAAGTCCGCTTGGAAGGAAACCAAGTCCAAGATTCCTTTGACTCACTTGCGTTCGAGTGGATGGCCCAAAAAATGTAACCACACTTTTTATGTCTACCAAAATGGTCCAACCCCAAAAAGTTTGAAGTTCCTGAACTCAGGAAGTGAAATTGAGTCCTTGAAACCCAGGATTCCTTGTCGCTATGAAACTGAAGGCATACTTCCTGAAGCTTAATCTTACCGTCAAAGTCAAAGCAAACAAGCTCAACCAAAGGCACGGAAGTCCCTCCATACATGTTGATCTTGTACCCACGGCTTGGTGGGAAAAAATCCTTTGCTCTTCCCCCCCCGCACCTTCCATACCTGGCTTCAAGGAAGGACCGCCCAAGAGGCTGGCTTAAGCCCCCGGCAAGCAGCCTCATGGCAAGCATGAGAGACGGTTCGAAGCCTCGGCCGGGAAGTTCGCTTGTCAAAGAAACCGTAACTCACTTGTGACTCCACACCTTCTGTGCGCCACCAAACTAGGCTGGAATTAGGACCCCAGCATTTTTATTTTTATTTTGCCTGGTTAGTGGAAAACAAAGGGAACCCCAGCAAAGCAAAAAAGCAAAAAGGGGAGCTAATTCTGGGGAAGTTTCCAGTCATCGACATGTGCTTTGATGGGCGGTCCTTTTGACCCTCTTGACTACTGCCATGGGACACATGGGCCACTTGGGTGGATTTTAACAGGCACTTCCTCCAAAACAAGTGGAACAAACGCCAGACTTGCCCCCCCCTGCCAAGAGCAACCAGCAAAAATGGGGGACTGATGGAAAATGAAAAAGCGAACAGGTCGCAGTAAAATGGAAAGCTAACTCTAGAAATGAAAAGGCACTACTAATGAACATGAGAAGGAACCTTTGCAATGATTTCGTAAGTAGTCTGAAACCCCTCAGAGGTCAATGCCCATTCCAACCCGTCTTCCCGTCTTAAAGACCCATGTTCAGTTTGAACCATTGCACACATGAACATCAATATGCCAACCATTGGAGGTCTAGGTCATGGACAAGGACCACCCATCTCCAAACAAGTTGGATGGGGAACCATGGGCACGGTCAGCATTACGAACAAACGTTTCCCGAAGACATGCGAAACTCGTCATTCCCGTGGTTGTAGGAATCATTCAGATTCATGTCCCTGCCAAATGCCTCATACTGTACCTGGTCCGATTCCCCACCAACTCAACAAATCTGTGCCGCTGCTGGCACACGACTTTAACCTTCCATTGCTTAATTTGTCCAGGAGTGAAATTGATTTCCGTTTAAATCCTTCCATTTGGTTCAGGCCCCGGGAAAAATATTTCCAGCAGTGATGAATTCCTTTTAAAACCAACAAGGGAAAATCAAAAGAACAACTTAAGGAAATGGAGGAAACCAACAAGGGCATAGTCTTGCGCAAATGCAAGTAACCATTTCCCATGCGCAAAATTGACGAAGGAGGCCGCCGAAACCACTGGCTGCAGCAAAGTTGCACTAGGCTTGCGCCATGAAGCCTCGGTCCCCTTCAAGGAAATCCCCAGTTGGATGGTTTATCTCGGGGTCATTCCCTCATTCCCTCCTGAGAGCATCTTACTCCACCTCCCTGGCGGGATCCAAGATCCAATCTACTAGCAATTCATGGCCGGGATCCAAAATGATCTCTTTCAACTGCTGAGGTCTCCCTTTTCTCCCCAATAGCTGAACCGTTTTGTTACGTCTTCCCCCAGCAGCTGAAGTCGATAGGCCCAAATCGGCTGGTTTGGGGCAGCTTCCGGGGCTGTTGCGGACACTACACGGGCTTATTCTTCTTTTAGCAGTCAGTTTTTGTTGCTTTTGCTTTTTCGTCCATTCTTTGAGCAAATGGAAGAGACACCTAAGGACAACTGATTGAATTTTAGTGATATCCCTATTTCCCCAAGTAGTGATATCTGTGCAATGCAAGATCCCCTAGGAAGAGATCCTTATGGGTTCATGTCAACAGTTTGTGTTGTACGATGGCTTTAAAATACAGCCTTTTACGGGTGTCTCTTAAAATAGGGGACCCCCAAATTGCCTTCGGTCTTCCTTGTGGGTTGCCTTTTGAAGCCAAGGCAGAACGGGATACGCTGACACCATAAATTGCTTGCCGTTGACCCCTCTGCGAACCGTTGAACTTTGTATCCCGCAGTGGGGTGGGGGTCCGGGACCCTCTTCCGTTGATCCCGTCTTCCAACCAAGGGAAAATGGGAGAACCCATAAATTTGAAGATCTCCAGGGGTCGAAACCCCCCCTCCCCCAATCAACCATTTAGAGGGGTGAGGATGTTAAAGTCCAAAGATCCTACCAAAATGGGGTTTCCCCAACCCCCACTAAGCCCTAAAACCTAAAAGCCTAAAGAGCCGGACGGCTGGTTCTGAAGCGCCTAGCTGGCACAGGTGTCCTTTTAGGGGAAATGGCCCTGGTAGATGATTAAAACACCAGATAAGCCAGGAATCGAAACCCATCTATTTTTCTACCAGAACAACCAAAAAGGCAATGTATGCATGGATTCGCCATCTATTATTCCACAAAAACAACCAAAAAGGCCACCTATGCATGGATCCGCCATCTATTTTTCTACAACAACAACAACAACAACCAAAAAGGCCGCCTATGCATGGATTCGCCATCTATTTTTCTACCAAAACAACCAACAAGGCAACCTATGCATAGATTCGCCATCTATGTTTTCTACCAAAACAACCAAAAAAGCCGCCTATGCATGGATGCGCCATGTATTTTTTACCAACCGCCTGCTAGTTTTCCACCAAAAGAACCAAACAAAAACTACCAAAACAACCAAAAAGGCCGCCTATGCATGGATTCGCCATCTATTCTTCTACCAAAACAACCCAAAAAGCACCTATGCATGGATTCGCCATCTAGTTTTCTACAAAAACAACCACTTATGCATGGATTCGCCATCTATGCAGGGATTCGCCATCTATTTTTCTACCAAAACAACTCAATTTGCTACCAAAACAACCAAAAAGGCCGCCTATGCATGGATATTTTTCTACCAAACAACCTATGCATGGGTTCGCCATCTATTTTTCTACCAAAACAACCAAAAAGGCCGCCTATGCATGGATGAGGATCGGATTCCTTGCCAAGCGGCCCGGCTTCAACTTGGATAAGGTGCCCTCTCTGCGGGGTGCGAGAGCCGCGCAACGACCCGCGAGACGGCCGCGGCTCAAAAACCCGAAGACGGCCGCGGAGTTTGAGCGTCAGTCGACGTCGACGTGTGGCAACAGGGACAAACGTGGGCCCCATAGAGTTTGGCCCACATGTATGGAGGGCCCTTTATGATTAGAGTCCCCTACCTAGTCACTGGAGACCTTGCGCCCTTTGGTACAAGCACAACCTGAATCGACGGTGATAAAATCAACAACTCTGCGACTAGAGGGTGTTCCAAACAAAACGGCCGATCGTTCCGCCCCAGGGTGCAGTTAATCCCTCGCAACAGGCTTGGGTCCTCCAGAGCAAAAGGCAACTACCGGTGTCTGGGCCCTAAAGATCCAAGAAACTAGGCCGCAGGTCATCGACCCGCCCCTAAGAAGGCCTTCATCAGGCGGTTGTTTCGCCCTGTCGGAGCTTCGCAGTGATGTTTGGATGCTTTCCTTACCCCTTAAAAAACTCCGAGCCCTGGGGAAGTTAATCTTTTACAGCCATATAGCCCATGTTACCCCGAAAAAGTTTAAAAGTTGTGTTTTTAAGAGGTAAGTTTCTGCTCTGTTTTGCGCTTCTATGGCCCTGGGTCCAAATTTGGGGGATACGAAAGCTCCAGGGAAAACCGTTCAGCACCAAAGCGCTCGGAGCTTGTTGCCTGGCGCTTCGGTTGAGTTGACGTCCAAACCGCTCCCTCCCACGAAACCCGCTCGCCGCTCGGCTCGCTGAGTGCCTCAGGTGCGGCACAGGTCCTCCAGGGAATTCTCGACGAACATTTTTTAAACAAAGAACGTACCTGGAGTCTCCACCCGTTAAAAGTAGGTCCAGGACCCCATTATTTAGGGTACTGACCAACCATTGTTGAAGGGTGATGGAGACTCTAGGTATCCCTGGTTCCCAAGGACCCACAACAAAGGGGTACAAGGCAGAACACAAAGGCCCTTTTTGGGGGTCCAGGTAGGTCGCAGAATATGGGGGAAGCCCCAAATGATGGGTTGTTTTCTGGTTTTCCGTTCAAACCAACCCAGAAAACATACCCAACAAAAAACCGTACACAGCTAAGCATGCCTGAACCAGCAGTGTTGCTCACTCCCGATCAGTGGGTTGGTCAAAAACGGCCCAGGAAGTTCTTGAGTTATCACACAAATTGTCCAAATTCATCAAGTGGAAAAGTCCAGGAGCGAGTTTATGTACACATCTATGAAAATAGAACAGCAACATCTCATATATATATAATTATGTGATGATCTACAGATATATGCATATATACAAATATACAAATGCAGGCAAGTTAAGTACGCGGGTGTGTCCAGTTCTTGTGAATGCCAATGCGAGCGGTCTACTTTTCACTTGTCCATTGGCGCAAGCACGGATTGCTCCGAGTCTCAGAGTGCGCGTCGCTTTCGCCAGTTTCAGCTGCCAAAGGGAATGTCTTCCCTGACCTTCCCATCAAGCATATTGCCCCTCACTTGTCTGCATGTGAGTCGGCCACGCAGTCAAGCCTTTTTGCCCGAAACAAAAACAAAGCTCGATAACAGCGCAAAGCATCTCTCTCTTGCCACTCGTAGGTGGAGGGAAACCCAACAATCAAAACACAAGCTAAGAACAGGAAACAACTAAGTTGAGGCTCCTCCGTGTCCATCGACAAAAGCCGCCAACACGCGGGTAAACAACAGCTGTCGACCCGTGTGCTCAACTCAGTGAGAGTAGAAAAGGATCTGCTTTGATTTGTGCTCTGCTCGGTGCAGCTGTTTGGTGCCCGTTCGTTGAACTCCAGCCTAAAAAAGGGACGCTACCCCGGGCAAGACTTGACCGCGTCCAGGCGACAGCGGCAAAGTCCGTGCGTCAAAACTTCCTGCGCTTCACTTCGGGTTGCGCAGGACCAGAATCACCTCAGGGTGCTGTGAAATGATGTCGTCGTTGCTGCTGCTGTTGCTGTTGCTTGGCTGCGGCTGCGGCTGTTGCTGTTGCAGTTGCCGTTGCCGTTGCCGTTGCCGTTGCCGTTGCCGTTGCCGTTGCCGTTGCCGTTGCCGTTGTTGTTGTTGTTGTTGTTGTTGTTGTTGTTGTTGTTGTTGTTGTTGTTGTTGTTGTTGTTGTTGTTGTTGTTGTTGTTGTTGTTGTTGTTGTTGTTGTTGTTGTTGTTGTTGTTGTTGTGTTGTTTGTTTGTTGTTGTTGTTGTTGTTGTTGTTGTTGTTGTTGTTGTTGTTGTTGTTGTTGTTGTTGTTGTT